CATTTCCAGTCCAGCCCAGAACAGAACCTTCCATCTCGACAGAAATGGAGTTCCAACTGTATCTTCATCTCTCTAGCATGAGTATTTATTGTTATAGTTTTGTAAAAGGCAGTTCTGCCTAAAAACAGTTTAAATTCCATCAACCATTCTGGCCAGAACAACCTCTTTATACTGAGATAAATTGTTAAAGTCCTCACCAGTCTGAGGCGAGAAAAGAACTTACTTGGGAGATATTCCTCACCCAAATTCACAATCGTTTGTTTGCAGAAATCAGTAACTTGGGGCGCAAGTTATCCATTCCAAACTAAGTCTGCTAGAATTTTTATTACTAGCAGTGGCACGCTCGCACACCAAAGAAAGCTGACTTGTTGACCAGTCTATGGTTCTCAAGGCAGTGGGGAACTTTGCCCTTCCATCATAGGAGTAAACGCAAAACTGGCAAACAGGTATACATTTAAGTATAATAGAAAAGCATCATACATTAAATCTTATGATTAAGAGTACCTCTCAAATCCATGAAACTTTGAGTACACCTGCTACCACTTATGAACAACAATATAACAATTAATTCATTTAATAAATTTTAACTATAATGGCTGAAATCATGATCACATATCCAAGTTGAAATTCTATCTTGTCGATTCTCAATATGAACCTATAAGACAATAAGAATTCTCTACCAAAATTCGGAGGGTCCCCATGACAACGTCTACAGTACACAAGTGTACCGATACACCATCTGTTTTTAATGAAGCATGTGCAATTGAGTTGTTTTTTTTTAACGTTAACATGACTCTCTTTTTCCATGCTCTTCAAAAAGTCGTTGTATTGCACTTCTATTATTGCAAAAAAAAAAAAACAATCATTAAAATAGTTTTGTGATGCATGATCAATATAAATTGGTTCCACATAATTTATTGAAATAGTTTTATGAATTTATATGTTAGCTTTTAATTAACTTTATTTACAGAAAAAATTGTTCCCACATCATATACGTTTGTGTGTTTTTCATAATGTTTTTGTAGTAATAGCAAGGGTTTCTGAGTTTAAAATTGTAGGTCACATTTTGGAGCAGGGTTTGTTGGAGTAGACTATTGTATATCGATTTTTCAATTAATTAGTCCTTATTGTAGTAAACACTTGTGTTTGCTTGAAATATGACCCCATTTACTTCTTTAACGTTCACCATTTCTAATTCATTGGTGGTGGTTCTGTTGTGGTCGTTGGTTCACTAGTTTTTGGCGGGGTCTGTTTGGCGTGGTGGTTCTGTCGTGGTGTTCTTAGAGTTTGTGCTTCGCTAGTGGTCTAGTCTGGTTTTTGCGTTGGTGTGTAGTTCTTGGATCTTGCGTGGTTGTGTGGCTTTGTGGGTCTGCCGCATTCGTGGTGACTTGGTGGTGAGGGCCGTGATAGGGATTTTTGTGAGATGTTGGTTTGGCCGGCTGGGAGTTTATTGATGGTTGGCTTCTATTGTAACACAATTCATTGTCTTAACCACAAATTGTGGTCTTCTAATCAAGTAAGAATTCGAGAGGTTTGCATGTTCAGAAATATACTCAGACTTATCAGATTATCCTTGTATAAAAGCTATCCTAATTGAAGTACAAGAAATAATGGAAAACCTAATTCCATATGGATTGAATCAACGAAATTCTAATGCAACTAGAACACTCTCCTTGATGGGCAAGGCTTTCAAGTGATGTGATAGGATTTTTAGTACCTGTATAAACTGGGTTAAAATCACTAAAAATACTTGCAAGAATACAAGGTAATTGTAGTATAAATGCTCATGCAAGGTAGTTGTCCCCAAAGATTGTTTGATTAATCTGTAATTAAACTAACTCTTAATTAATAACTAAAATAGATTTTATCAAAGATTTGAAGTTTATGAATTTGAAAAGATTAAACTAACAGTAAAAGAAATCTGAAAGTTGGGAAATAATAACAGCAAAGAAGAAAAACGATTTCTTTTTAGCCAACACCGTCGCAATCCTATGCAATTCTATCAATTACTTATGAATTTCCATATATATGCTTTGAAGGTTAGGTTTTCCTAATGCATATTTTCCTTGTGATGTTCAAGCGAAAATGTATATCTAACATGCAATCCGTCTGTGATGTTCAGATCAAATATAAACATGCAAGACTCATTAAGCTTTGTGAAAACCCTTTGAAAAACCATGCAACCCTTAAGAGCGTGATGTTCGCCTTAAGTGAACTTACAATTATTAATCACAAGAAGCCCTCCTCAATTTCAGGGTGATGTTCCAACCCTCCTCAATTTCAAGGTGATATTCCAACAGAAATTGCATCAAATTACTTGTCTACATATCCTAATGGTGATCAGTCATTAAAATAGATAGATAGTTTTAAACATAGTGATTAATAATTCAAAGCAAACATGCATCCATTCATAAGCAAATTAATAAAACTACATATTCATGCTAAGGCTTACGGCCTTGCCTTAGCAAAAGGAATTAGTTACACATAATCATAATTGAAATCCGAAAAAAAAACATTTGAATGAATAAGAATGAAAACACCTGAAAGTAACGAAAATCCAAAACCCTTGTAATTGCTCCCAAAGCCAAAAAGAAGTCCAAAAGGAGATCCCCAAAATTGTTGTGAAAAGGAGCTTAAATACCTCCTAAAACCTAGCTACCCAATCCCCACAAGGAAACTAAGTTAAAATAAAATAAGACTAGGAAATAAAGTCCAAATTGGATTAGGAGAATCTGCCCAAATCTGCCCAGCCACGTTTTGGTCTCAAATCTCCTCCAAATCTGGCCCAAGATAGCTCGTTTTAAAGATAAAAATATTCCGAACACTTCTCCAGAAGGCCACGAACCCATCCGAATCGATCCGAGGTCATCTTGGGCTCCAAAAACGCAATGAAAGCCCAAAACGTCACTATTTCAGCACCACGCACTGCTCCTTTATTTTATCGCCAGAAAATAATCGCTTGGTAGAAATGTCTGAAATTTCGATACAATCAAGCCAAGTGACTTACGAACGTCCTCTAACTGGAATTACTCCAAAATTCGTCCATTTGATTATGTTTTGCTTCAGAGGAAGTCGAAAGTCCTATATTGGAAATATAATTCAAAGTGTCAAAATTCTTCCAAAATATTAACCAAAATATACTAAGAATGAGGTTAAATATATAATATAAAATCGACTCATCAAAATACCCCCAAACTTATCTCTTTGCTTGTCCTCAAGCAAAATAAGACTCAAACAAAAATAAAAACTTAATAAACTAGACACCTGGCTAAAACTTAATCAGAACAAAATTTCCACCTTCAAGTTGCAATCCGTAGCAAATTTTAAAAACTAGAACATCTGTTCAAACTCGACTAAAACCCTTATCTCTCATCCCTTTTATTCATACTTCACATATATATATATATATATATATATATTTCAGTAACAGTAGTGGTTGTGCAATGTTGGTTCCCTTAAGCTTTCGATCCAACCCATGTAGCGAGCTTTAGGTCAATGACTCCCAAACCACTAAGGCTTTAGGGCACTAGGTGTAGAACACCCCTAAGGACTTATTAACTCAAGCTGAAACGGCTACGAAACCAACTAACCACCCTGCCTCATGCCAAAACTCTACCGTTTGTATCGAGAATCACTACTGATTAAGCAGGACTGGCCCGGTTACTAGCAAAGCTTCGGGTGAGGCAATTATTACTTTATAACACATACTAACTTTATTTTTATAAAGAAAAAAAATTAAAACACACTTAGACAAAAAGTAAGTATTTCAATCTCACTCCCCAAAACCATGTTGGTGTGATGTGCAAATTTCAAAGTATAATTCATGAATTAGTGTCTAAGCAACAATAAATAGAAAAAACTCTACTATGGGATTGATTTTCACTATGTCCATTTGTTCCAAAGTTTAAAATAATCTATGGATATTAACTTAAAAACGAAAATTCTAGACAAGACCCAAAAATTAAAAATTTAAATTTTTAGTTTCCCACCCCCAAACTTAAATCACACATTGTCCTCAAAGTGTGGAAAATAAACAAAAGAAGCAAGAGCAGACCATACAACTAAATCCTAGAAAATGGAAATCTAAAATAAAGAAAACACTCTAGGAAAAGAAACTAGGAAAGCAAAAGAGAATAACCAAAAATAAATAAATAAAATAAAATAAAAAGGAAAGAAAATACTAGGGGTGATATTTTAAACCGAAAAACCGAAAAACCGCAAAAACCAGCCGACAATTTACCACAATGAAACCGCAATCGCGGTAAACCGAACCACATTTGCGGTATTAAGAACCGAACCACATTTGCAGTTGCGGTATTTGATTTTCAAAACTTGCGGTTACCGCAAACCGCAAAGTATA